ATGTCCAAGCAGGTCAGAGCCTAGTCAACGCTGGTCATGGCTTGTCTTAGCTAGTCCATGCCGAAGCCAGTCCAAACTAGTCGTAGCCGTGATCGAATCTCAGCCAAAGGCCAAGAAACGATCCTTATTTGTCAAAACACGACGAAATTCGCCAAAGCGGAAGTCGACGAGGTATTTACCCGACTCACACAGGGTCAGGATGTGACACAAGGTCGGTTTAACGTGGGAGACCCGAGTGTTTCCAATCAAAGGGCCAAAAAGGTCCAAAACTGGTCTTAGCATGTCCAAGATGGTCAGAGCCTAGTCAACGCTGGTCATGGCTTGTCTTAGCTAGTCCAGGCCAAAGCCAGTCCAAACTAGTTGTAGCCGTGATCGAATCTCAGCCAAAGGCCGAGAAACGATCCTTATTTGTCAAAATCCCTGACAGGATATGACACCAGGTCGGTTTAACGTGGGAGACCCGGGTGTTTCCATTCAAAGCCAAATGGTCCAAACTGGTCTTAACATGTCCAAAATTGTCAAGTCAACGCTGGTCATGGCTTGTCTTAGTCAGGCCGAAGCGGTATTCAGGGAACCCGTTCGCTTCGCTAAGTCGACGATATTCCCGACTCACACAGGGTCAGGATGTGACACAAGGTCGGTTTAACGTGGGAGACCCGAGTATTTCCACTCAAAGGGCCAAAAGTCCAAAACTGGTCTTAGCATGTCCAAGCTGGTCAGAGCCTAGTCAACGCTTGTCATGGTTTGTCTTAGCTAGTCCAGGCCGAAGCCACTCCAAACTAGTCGTAGCCGTGATCTAATCTCAGCCAAAGGCCGAGAAACGATCCTTATTTGTCAAAACTGGTCGAAATCAGCCAAAACTGAAGTCACCGAGGTATTTACCCGACTCCGCCAGGGTCAGGATGTGACACAAGGTCGGTTTAACGTGGGAGACCCGAGTGTTTCCACTCAAAGGGACAAAAGGTCCAAAACTAGTCTTAGCATGTCCAAGCTGGTCAGATCCTAGTCAACGCTGGTCATGGCTTGTCTTAGCTAGTCCAGGCCGAAGCCAGTCCAAACTAGTCGTAGCCGTGATCGAATCTCAGTCAAAGGCCGAGAAACGATCCTTATTTTTCAAAATTCGACGAAATTCGCCAAAGCGGAAGTCGACGAGGTATTTACCCGACTCCCACAGGGTCAGGATGTTACACAAGGTCGGTTTAACGTGGGAGACCCGAGTGTTTATACTCAAAGGGCCAAAAGGTCCAAAACTACTCTTAGCATGTCCAAGCTGGTCAGATTATGGACAACGCTGGTCATGGCTTCTCTTAGCTAGTCCAGGCCAAAGCCAGTCCAAACTAGTCGTAGCCGTGATCGAATCTCAGCCAAAGGCCGAGAAACGATACTTATTTGTCAAAACTCGACGAAATTCGCCAAAGCGGAAGTCGACGAGGTATTTACACGACTCACACAGGGTCAGGATGTGACACAAAGTCGGTTTAACGTGGGAGACCCGAATGTTTCCATTCAAAGGGCCAAAAGCTCCAAAACTGGTCTTAGCATGTCCAAGATGGTCAGAGCCTAGTCAACGCTGGTCATGGCTTGTCTTAGCTAGTCCAAGCCAAAGCCAGTCCAAACTAGTTGTAGCCGTGATCGAATCTCAGCCAAAAAGCCGAGAAACGATCCTTATTTGTCAAAACTGTTCGAAATCATCCAAAGCGGAAGTCACCGATGTATTTACCGACTCCCACAGGGTCAGGATGTGAGACAAATATCGGTTTAACGTGGGAGACCAGAGTTTCCATTCAAAGGCCCAAAAGGTCCAAAACAGGTCTTAGCATGTCCAAGCTGGTCAGAGCCTAGACAACGCTGGTCATGGCTTGTCTTGGTAATCCAGGCTGAAGCCAGTCCAAACTAGTCGTAGCCGTGATCGAATCTCAGCCAAAGGCCGAGAAACGATCGGTTTGTCAAAACTCGACGAAATTCGCCAAAGCGGAAGTCGACGAGGTATTTACCCGACTCACACAGGGTCAGGATGTGACACAAGGTCGGTTTAACGTGGGAAACCCGAGAGTTTCCACTCAAAGGCCCAAAAGGTCCAAAACTGGTCTTCGCATGTCTAAGCTGGTCAGAGCCTAGTCAACGCTGGTCATGGCTTGCCTGAGCTAATCCAGGCCGAAGCCAGTCCAAACTAGTTGTAGCCGTGATCGAATCTCAGCCTAAGGCCGAGAAACGATCCTTATTTGACAAAACTGGGCAAAATCAGCCAAAGCGGAAGTCGCCGTAATATTTACCCGATTCCCACAGGGTCAGGATGTGACACAAGGTCGGTTTAACGTGGGAGACCCGAGTGTTTCCACTCAAAGGGCCAAAAGTCCAAAACTTGTCTTAGCATGTCCAAGCTGGTCAGAGCCTAGTAAACGCTGGTCATGGCTCGTTTTAGCTAGTCCAGGCCGAAGCCAGTCCAAACTAGTCGTAGCCGTGTTCTAATCTCAGCCAAAGGCCGAGAAACGATCCTTATTTTCAAAATGGGCGAAATCAGCCAAAGCAGAAGTTACCGAGGTATTTACCCGACTTACACAGGGTCAGGATGTGACACAAGGTCGGTTTAACGTGGGAGACCCGAGTGTTTCCACTCAAAGGCCCAAAAGGTCCAAAACTGATCTTGGCATGTCGAAGCTGGTCAGAGCCTAGTCAACGCTGGTCATGGCTCGTCTTAGCTAGTCCAGGCCGAAGCCAGTCCAAACTAGTCGTAGCCGTGATCGAATCTCAGCCAAAGGCTTAGAAACGATTCTTATTTGTCAAAACTCGACGAAATCCGCCAAAGCTGAAGTCGACGAGGTGTTTACCCGACTCCCACAGGGTCAGGATGTGACACAACGTCGGTTTAACTTGGGAGACCCGAGTGTTTCAACTCAAAAGGCCAAGAGGTCCAAAACTGGTTTTAGCATGTCCAAGCTGGTTAGAGCCTAGTCAACGCTGGTCATGGCTTGTCTTAGCTAGTCCAGGCCGAAACCAGTCCAAACTAGTTGTAGCCGTGATCGAATCTCAGCCTAAGGCCGAGAAACGATCCTTATTTGACAAAATTGGGCAAAATCCGCCAAAGCGGAAGTCGCCGTAGTATTTACCCGACTCTCACAGGGTCAGGATGTGACACAAGGTCGGTTTAACATAGGAGACCCGAGTGTTTCCACTCAAAGGGCCAAAAGGTCCCAAACTGGTCTTGGCATATCCAAGCTGGTTAGAGCTTAGTCAACGCTGGTTATGGCTTGTCTTAGCTAGTCCAAGCCGAAGCCAGTCCAAACTAGATGTAGCCGTGATCGAATCTTAGCCAAAGGCCGAGAAACGATCCTTATTTGTCAAAACTAGGCAAAATCAGCCAAAGCGGAAGTGGCCGAAATATTTACCCGACTCCCACAGGGTCAGGATGTGACACAAGGATGGTTTAACGTGGGAGACCCGAGTGTTTCCACTCAAAAGGCCAAAAGGTCCAAAACTGGTCTTACCATGTCCAAGCTGGTCAGAGCCTAGACAACGCTGGTCATGGCTTGTCTTAGCCAGTCCAGGCCGAAGCCAGTCCAAAGTAGTCGTAGCCGTGATCGAATCGAGAAACGATCCTTATTTGTCAAAACTGGGCGACATCTGCCAAAGCGGAAGTCGCCGAGTTATTTACCCGACTCCCACATGGTCACACGGAAGTTCAACAGGCACTCCACAGGTCGCCGCAAAACAGAGCATCACGGTCAGGCCTAGCGATCAGCAGCAGGAGAGCATCAACCACCGTCAACATGTGTGAACTACTATGAGACATTGACATAGATCCGAAGCCGGCTTATGAACTTTACCACGAGGTAGCTGTCCCAACCCCTCACGTTCCTGTTGAAATAAACCACGTAAATCTCTTTCTACTGTTGTCGTATTTCTTTTTTGCAACCATACGCTTGTCTCTAACCGACATCACTTTCATTACAGCTACTAAAACGACACCACTTGATGTAAGTAACTATAAGCCACTTTTACAACAGCTACTAAAACGACCCCACTTCATATAAGTAACTAATTAAGACACCACTTTCACAATAACTACTAAATAAGACACCACTTTATGTAAGTAACTAAGGAAGACAACACTTCTACAACAGCTACTAAATAAGCCATCACTTTATGTAAGTAACTAAGACACCACTTTTACTACAGCTACTAAGTTAGACACCACTTTATGTAAGTAACTAAGGAAGATACCACTTTTACAACATCTACTAAGTAAGACACCATTTTATGTAAGTAGCTATGTAAGACACCACTTTTATAACAGCTACTAAATAAGACATCACTTTATGTAACTATGACCCCATTTTTACAACAGCTACTAAGTCAGACACCACTTTATGGAAGTAAGACACCACTTTTACCACAGCTACTAAATAAGACACCACTTTGTGTAAGTAACTAAAACACCACTTTTACAACAGCTACTAAATGACACCACTTTTTGTAAGTAACTAAGATGCCACTTTTACAATAGCTAAGTAAGACACCACTTTATGTAAGTAACTATGACATTATTTTTACAACAGCTACTTAGTAAGACACCATTTTCTGTAAGTAACTAAGTAAAGCCCCACTTTTACAACAGCTACTAAATGAGACAGCACTTTATGTAACTAAGAGTAACTAAGACACCATTTTTACAACACCTACTAAGTCACACCACTTTATGTAAGTAACTAAGACATCACTTTTATTATAGCTACTAAGTAAGACACTACTTTATGTAAGTAACTAAGTAAGACACCAGTTTTACAACAGCTACTATGTAAGACTCATGAGCATTTTTCTCTACTTAGATTAATTTCTTTAGGTGTTCAAAAGAATAATTTCAGTACCCCCTACACCCATCTTACTCTTCATATTACTGTAAATTGACATATTTTCCTTTGTTACACTGAGAAACAGTACTTTTTTTATTGTGTGATTAACTGATATTTTTTGATAGTGAATAGCAAGATGAAAAAAATTTCTTAATGACCAGTCTTATTCCGAGAAGGAATTTCTTCATATTTATGGGTAATATGTTGTGAATTGATCAGTATAATAAGACAAGGAACACAAACTGTAATATAACCTGAATATAAATGAATATCAGTAATAAATGTGACATTTTCAGATAAATAAGTGATGTAACAGAATAACCTGTCACCCCCATGAGTGACTGCACTAAAGGTAGTAACTACCTATAAGTATCTGTAACTCAATGGACTACAGAGTCAAGCTGGTATCTGTTTCTCAGCTCTTAGCTGTTGTCGAACTCTCTGCCTGAAGGCAGAGAGGAACCCAGACGGGGATCCGCGAAAGGGCAGAGTCTCATCCGGGGTGGTAGACAGACTCGAACCTGTTTATATGGGGCTGTACAGGGAATTTTTGGCTGACCATATGGGTTCAGATGGCCCATGTTAAACTTGGCCTTGTGTCACATCTACCCTCGTTGGATGGGGCTAGTAAATATTGTCTAGCTGGAATCTGTTCAATACAACTCAGTCTTACACGAGAACTACCGACCTTCCAATAGTAGCACTCACTACTGGATTGACCTGCAATGACCTTGTGCATAACTGTTATCTTTATTCTTATTGTATTGGTTTTTACAATAAACCTTTACTTATTTCATCCACCGTGTTTGTCAAGTATATATTCCTATTAGCACGGAATATAACAGATAGATAGATAGATAGATAGATAGATAGATAGATAGATAGATAGATATGAAAATGACTGAGATAGATAGACAGATAGGTTTCATGAGATAACAAGGGAGGGAACGTAGTGAAGGGAAGGAATGAGTAATAAAGAAAAAGAAATAAAAGTTGTATGAAAGAGAGAGAGAGGGGTGAATTTTTCTCCTTATCTTTTAAATAAACAGACAGATAGGTAGATAGATAGATATGAAAAAGACAGATAGATATGAAAAAGACAGATAGTGAGATAATGGAATAACCTGTCACCCCCATGAGTGACTACACTATAGGTAGTAACTACCTATAAGTATCTGTAAGTCAATGGACTACAGAGACTAGCATTACCAGCTAAACAGTCAAACTGTCAAACGACCTGTTCCAGCTAAACAGTCAAACTCTCTGCCTTTGGGCAGAGAGGAACCTGGATGAGGCTCTGTTGAAGGGTAGAGTCTCGTTCGAGGGAGTAGACTGACCCTCAACCTGTTTATACGGGTTCAAAAAGAGAATATTCTTGGCCAAGCCTACAGGCTCGGAGAATCCACGTTAAACCGGCCTTGTGCCACATGCAACCCTTGTGAGTGGGGTGTAGCTAAATATACTAGCTGTGACATGTTCCAGCTAAACAGTCAAACTCTCTCCCTTCGGGCAGAGAGAAACCTGGACGAGGTTCCACCAATGGACAGAATCTCGTTTGGGGAGATAGACTGTCTCTGAACCCATTTATATGTGTTCAAAAGGGAATATTTTTGGCCGAGCCTATAGGTTCGGAGAACCCATGTTAAAACGGCCTTGTGCCACATGCAATTCTCGTGGAGGTGTAGCTAAATATACTAGCTAGGATCTGTTGAGTATGACTCAGACTTACACGAGAACTACCAACCTTCCAATAGTAGCACTCACTACTGGATTGACTTGCGATGACCTTGTGCATAACTGTTACCTTTATTCTTATTGTACTGGTTTTTACAATAAACCTTTACTTATTTTATCTACCATGTTTGTCAAGTGTATATTCCTATTAGCACGGAATATAACAATAAGTTTATTAAAATTTCAATAATTAGACATATCACAATCATTATTTAGCTACTCACCATTTTGTTCTAGTCAAGAAACTGCAAATTACAATTCAGATTTTTTATTCTCCTTCTGTTGTTCTCTCTTCTAATATATTTATCTCTCTTTTTTTACTCTATTTAATTATTCAGTCTCTTTATTTTTATTTCTCTCTTATTTTTCTCCTCTCTCTCTATAATATTTTTGATATGCCAAATTTCCTCAAAATGTGGGTGATCATGGCTCTCTACAGGTTTCTGATATATGAGATTAGATATTACACAGAACACCTTTCTTTGTTGCTAATATTGCCCTATATCTAAATATGTTGCTTAGTTTTGTTACAAGATGAGATCTTGCCCTGCTTCGATAAACGGAAGTTACCATCACGAGTCCCCGACTCGAAATGAAAACTGCACGTCTACGCATAGGCTCGACGCAGATACTTCCGTTTGGGATAAACTCAAAAAAAAAATGAAAGAATTAAATCAACCAATCGGACCGTCTCCCGCGTAGTCAAAAAATTGACATTTGGAGCCGATAGGCGTGTATAAGTTCAACACGGGAAAGTCAAAAGGGAGTCCCATTCAACGGCGGAGGTAGAAGGGTCACGTCGCTCGCTCCTGACACACTGGCCCGGCGACGAAACGAAGCATGTGACCGCTGCTGCTAATGAACTCTCGTCCGACGCTTTGTCAAAGGGTACCTTTCCCCTTCCATAAGTCGAGTTAACTCCACGAACTTTACTTGCCACTACCATAGACATTCAACTTCTTAAATACGAACTTTTTACTTGTTCTTATTTTCCTCACTAAAAAGACTATAAAATATATTTACAGTCTTTCTTGTTCTTTCGATTTTGAATTTCATTGTTTGCAACCAAACGCAGTATTTCGCCCACATTGTTTTCACATCGCCCACGCATCTAAATACGGAATATAACACCGGTGTCAAGCGTACAGCGAAACAATGGAATACTCAGGCCTCTCTCGCTCAGAAATTCTGGAACTCATCAAGCAACAGAAAACAACGATTCTCCAAAAATCGACATGGAACGCACTGACAACCCCCAAGCACAATCGATCATTAACGAACTAAAAGCAGACCTTCACGAACTTTTAGCCGCTCTGCAGACTACCACACATGATCGCTCACACTCACCGCGATACGCCACAAACTACGAACTATTAATGCGACAGCAATCACTTCGGGACGCTACGAAATCCATCCGGGCCTTCGAACCAGGCAATGACGTCAACCGCTTTATCACCGACCTCAGCAAAGCCTACACGATACACGTTAAGCCAGAGTTGAGCGAATACCCCGAGATGGAGAAAGAATTCGTCAAACTGGCAAAACAACTCCTTAACGAAGGCATTTTCCAGCAGATGGAAGACTCAAAACAGTCCACAGCCACGTTCGAGGAACTGAAAACTTACCTCGTCTCCACTCACGGGAACCAGATGACGAATTTCCAACATCTGAGCCGGGAATGGGACCTCCAGCGCTGTGAGGCGGAGAAATTCACTGATTTTGCAGGCCGACTTGAGAACACAATCCGAGAGGCCACAGTCCACATCAAGGCGAGATTCAAGTTGGAGAAACAAAATGCCGAGATGACGGCCGACACCGCTTTCTCCCTCATGAGCGAAAGGATCAAGGCACGGGCACCCAACATTTATCCACACCTCGTCAAAACCATGGATAGACACTACTCAGCGGGCGGTATTGCCAGCGACGCGCAACGCTTTCTCGATCGCGGCATCAAAACAGACATGACCACCTCCGTTGAAACAACTGCATTGATTGCGAGCCAACCTGCAAACTCCGGCAAGCCTCACAGCCTTGAAAGTGACAGAATACTAGCCGATGTAAAGCGACAATTGCTGGACCTGAACGAGCAACTACGGCAGGTGCACAGGCACGACCCAACCACCATCAACAGGAACAATCAGACCGGCCCCTCCTCCAACATGAAGCACAGCCGGACGCAAAGAGGCACTGGCCAATCCGGCCACCCGGCTGTATGCAGAAACTATCTACGAGGCCGTACATGCTTCAAGGGTAACAGATGTCCCTATTTTCACCCTCCCCTCGCTCAAGCTCACATAGCGACCACTGATACCACCTTATCCACACAACGTCGAGCACTCGACATGCTTCAACGAACTGGATTTTCAGCAGGGACCGAACGAGATGTGATGTATCGGTCCCCGGTCCCCGAATCCAAACCCCATCATCACATATTCAACCTTCAGATCTTACCCGAGCTCCGATCCCCCTTTGTCCAGATCAACCTCCGCAGCAACGACATTATGTTCTCCAATGTCGGCATGTTGGATTCTGGGTGCACGACTTGCATCGTCCCAATTTCTCGCTTACCCGAAGAAGCGAGAAAGTTCATGACCCAATCTGACATCCGAATTAAGGGAATCGGAGGAACGTCTTTATTCTGGGCAAATTAACTTGCGACGTCACCTTAGGCGACCATACTTCCCCGCCTTCCACAAAGTCGACACACTGATCACGACATCGGACATTCCTATTCTGATCGGACAGAATATACTCGACCACCACACGCTATCTTCTTATACTATCGACAACCAGAAGGCTTCTATCAAATTTACACGCACGCTCACATCCGGCAAGCTAACTCATACTGCCCCACTCTCCCCAGCCTTCGATCTAAAAAAAAAACCAACCCATAATCTCGCACACGGCGCCCAAGCCATTTCCAACGAGGAGCCACGCGTCACAGCGAGATCATCGTTTGACGGGTGGACCCTCAACCGAAAACTGGATTGGCTGAATCAAACCGTAGGCCTATCGCTTCCAAACCACCCTAACCGTAGTGAACTAGAAGCCACCGCCGACCTGCTCATCGGCTATGCGGATATCCTCGGCACCGACGACAATAACAAGCTCATTCTCTGTCAAATAGTGAATGTCCCTACTCATTTCCCTAATAAATCTGTTCAACATCTTTCTTTACTTGATTTGTTTCTTGCCTTCTCTCCTAGCTCTTGTAGATTATCATGACTCTCTCTTCTTGACAATTCAAATATCACTGTAATATCTATTGATATTTCTTTTGAGTCGGCTATTGTATAGTAAGTCACTATTCAGACTTTATTCTTCAATTGCTCATTCTCTGTCAAATAGTGAATGTCCCTACTCATTTCCCTAATAAATCTGTTCAACATTCTTCTTTACTTGATTTGTTTCTTGGCTTCTCTCCTTGCTCTTGTAGATTATCATGACTCTCTCTTCTTGGCAATTCAAAATTCATTGTAATATCTATTGATATTACTTTAGAGTCGGCTATTATATAGTAAGTCACTATTCATGCTTTATTCTTCAATTGCTCATTCTCTGTCAAATAGTGAATGTCCCTAATCCTTTCCCTAATAAATGTGTTCAACATTTTTCTTTACTTGATTTGTTCCTTGCCTTCTCTCTAAAACTCTTGTAGATTATCATGACTCTCTCTTCTTGTCAATTCAAATATCCCTGTAATATCTATTGATATTATTTTTGAGTCGGCTATTATATAGTAAGTCACTCTTCAGACTTTATTCTTCAATTGCTCATTCTCTGTCAAATAGTGAATGTCCCTACTCATTTCCCTAATAAATCTGTTCAACATCTTTCTTTACTTGATTTGTTTCTTGGCTTCTCTCCTAGCTCTTGTAGATTATCATGACTCTCTCTTCTTGGCAATTAAATATCACTGTAATATCTATTGATATTTCTTTTGAGTCGGCTATTGTATAGTAAGTCACTATTCAGACTTTATTCTTCAATTGCTCATTCTCTGTCAAATAGTGAATGTCCCTACTCATTTCCCTAATAAATCTGTTCAACATTCTTCTTTACTTGATTTGTTTCTTGCCTTCTCTCCTAGCTCTTGTAGATTATCATGACTCTCTCTTCTTGGCAATTCAAATATTACTGTAATGCCTATATATATTTCTTTTGAGTCGGCTATTATATAGTAAGTCACTATTCAGACTTTATTCTTCAATTGCTCATTCTCTGTCAAATAGTGAATGTCCCTACTCATTTCCATAATAAATCTGTTCAACATTCTTCTTTACTTGATTTGTTTCTTGCCTTCTCTCCTAGATCTTGTAGATTATCATGACTCTCTCATCTTGGCAATTCAAATATCACTGTAATATCTATTGACAAGTACAGTACGTGAAAAAAAGTAATGCAAATCTCTGAAATGGCCACGCCGCTTGACAAAACAAAACGCGCCCCCATAGTATTTCTTTCTCTGGAATGAAAACCCAGAGAAGCTGTATTGGAATTGGATGTTGCGGCACTTAATTCTGAGGATGGAATGGCTAAACTCTATGAAAAATTGGACACGCTTTTTTTGGAAGATATAAACCAGTCGGCCTTTCTGGCCTACGAGACTTTCGAAGGATACCGGAGACAGCCTGAAACATCAGTGGAAGACTTTCTCATTAACTTCTGCCGACACGTTGCGAAGTTGAAAGATTTCAACATCATCCTGCCTGAACCGGTACTTGCATTCAGGGCATTAAAGAGTGCTTCCCTCACCCCTGAAAATGAAAGACTATTCAAGGCGACTCTCGGCGAACTGACACTCCCTTCCATGTCGGCACAGTTAAAGAAGATTATGCATAGACAGCCGTCTGAAGCTTCATGTATGAACTCAACACCCGTAATGGTTAAGAAGGAAGATGTTATTGCCTTTACTGAAAATAAAAACGAACCTAGCGAGGTATACTATGGTCGCTCTTCGCACCGCCGTGATTCGCATTTTAATAGTCGGCGAGGAAAAACATACCGCGGTGGAAAACGACATAGCAACAACAACAACAAAACACGCTCCACTGACAAAAACAAAATAAACCCGCTAGGACCCGAAGGCAACACCACTGTGTGCTTTAAATGTGTCTGCAAATTTCACTGGTCTTACGACTGCCCTTATGTCGACGATACCCGGGACAAACATGAGGACGACGAACACGAAAGTTATCTGTATCTGGCTAACATTGTGCTGATGAGTCAGCAAAAACGCGAGGCAAATTGCAACACGCTTTTGGGTGAGACACTTGGTTCGGCTGTCCTAGATAGTGGTGCATCTGGCACCGTTCGTGGAAAAAAATGGTATGAATGTTTTCTCGAAACATTAACTGATGCACAGAAAAAAAATAATTATGAGAAAAGGAGTGAGAACTTTTAAGTTCGGGGATGGAAACAAGCTGGACTCTCTCTACAATGTGACTCTACCATGTGTCATCGCAGACATTGACGTCAATATTGTTACCGATGTTGTGGATTCTGACATTCCACTTCTCTTAAGCAAAGATGCAATGAAAAGAGCTGGAACCTGTCTCAATTTTGAACATGACAGCGTGACGATGTTTAAAAAGAAAATTCCATTGAGTTGCACATCGTCTGGTCATTATCACATCCCTATCACCAGACCCCTACCAGATAGAGGTAAGCTCAAACACATTCTTCTTGTCAAAGAAATCTCCTCTAAAAACAAATCAGAAAAAGTGAAAGTTGCAACCAAATTACATAGACAATTTAGTCATCCCAGTAGTAAGAAATTATGAGATTTAGTTAGAAATGCAGGAATAAGAGATCCCGATTTTATGAAAATCTTACAAGCACTTCCAAATTCCTGTGAAGTGTGTATTCGCTATAAAAAAAAAACGAACCTAGACCTATTGTTGGATTCCCATTAGGATCTTATTTTAATGAAACCGTTGCTATGAATATTAA